ATCTTCAGACAGTGCTGGCTCTTCGGCTTTGTAATGGAGATAAGCACCGTCCCCTAGAGCCGGAAATGACTAGCACGTATGTGCGAGGGGAACCTTTACCTTTACTAAATGTCATATAAATCAAAATACACCTGTCCATATTATTCTAAAGTTAGAGTAAATGAATTTATAATCTACCAGAGTTGCTTGACAGTGAGATGAATGACATATAAATTTAATAAATAAATAAAATAAATAACTGTTAAGTTACTACTAAATCAACCAGAATCAATTTGCCTTCAATTTATCTCCAGTTAATAGAAGGAAATTAGAAGAAAATTATCTTACCTGAAGAAGAGCTGTAAATATGTTGTTAAACACATGATTTTCAACTCAAAAGTTAAGTCTTTGGTATTTTCAGTTAAAAGAGAGAAAGATCTGAGCTGATCCGCTGCTGTGTAAATAACTTTGATTAAAAGATGAACTAGTAAATGAGGTATATTGCTGTTAATTATCGATATTTCCTCTTTGCCACTTTATATAACTGGGCAATTGTCTTTTCCATATATTTCCTAAAAGTTTCATCTTTTTTAAAACCGCCTTCTTAAAATTTAAAATATAATGTCAAAATCACAGCTTATTAAAGGAAACTTCCAAACAGCTCATTGATGCTAGTACTCAATCCTCTCAGCATGACACTGTCAGAACTTGTGCAGACAACAATTTCAGGCCAAAAGATTGTAGTCCAGGAGTAAGTAGTACTAATGTAATGGTCATAGCTTTTAAATGCCTCTATTGTGTGTAACACCAGGACAATAAAGTACATCTGTAGCTTCCTTGCACCAGCAACCCTAAATCAAATGGTCACTGTTTCATATATTCTTTTCTCCATAAGGAATAATTAATGCCAAGTTCTTTTATAGTATTTCTGACATTAATACCTTGCTCTTTGGTGCATAGAGAATTTACAAGTAGCTTCTTCAATGTTGTTTACAATTGATAATTCAATAAAGGTGTTGTAACACTTCAGTTCTCCAAAGACTCCTTCAAAGTAGGCAGGCGTGCAAACATTGCACCTCTCTGCAACACTTACAAAAGGATGTACCTGGTTTGAAATCTTTCATGTCTATGTTCTCCAAGGACTTTTCAGAGACTGATCCCATGCACAGATCTAAAATCTGCTGATAATCACCACTAAAGTTAATTTTATATATCCTTAATAGCACTAATGAACATTTGCTGTTCGATACAGTTATCCTAATTCATTGCCCAGACATCTTCACTTTCACTTTTCATTTTTGTGAAAGTATAATCGTAAGAAGACCATTCATGTATGTAGAATTTGCTATTGAGATGACGATTTTTGAAATCAGCTCAACAACATTTATATTTCATACTACATTCTCAGTTTCATGATGCACAAAACTATTCAAATGATAGTGAATAGCAGGAAAGAGGGGGGGAATTGTTCTTCCTACTCTGCATTTTTGTAATTACAATCCAAATTAGAGTAGCATGTTTATTATTTACTTTGTGGTGGAAAAAAAAATCACACCAACATCAGTGAAAATGGGACACACTTGGGCCTTAATATGGATAATAAGTAAAGAAGGTTAAAGTGTACCTAATTTACATTATGACTCTAGGCATAAAAGAGTATTCCATAGCTTCAATTGACTATTGTGGTTTATATTACATTATATTAATTATACCATACTATACTAGTATAGTGATTACTATTCATTGGACTAATAATATTACATTGAATTTGGCCATTTGGTTCAGTTACCCTCATATGAATGTAATTGTCCTACTGATTTAATTTCGACTCAAATCTTCATCTTGATTTGCAAACATACCTCCATTTAAAATTTCAGTTCTTTGCATTTCATTGATTTTCATTAGATATCTACAAAAGGCCTCACATTTTACTTTTCTTAACAGAATTAGATTATATTGGCAGGAAAGGAGACTCTTCTTAATATAAAACCTGACAAATTCTGAGTAACAAATGCAGGGTTTTATTTTATGTAACCTATGTGTTTAAAACTGTCAGCAACAGCCTTATATTTAAAACTGAATGAAATGTATAGACATAGTTATATTTGAAATTGAATGGAATCTTTTTACCTAAAATAAAAAGAAACATATAGTTGTCTTTTATAAGAATATCAGTCCTGCAACGTTTCATACAGGTAGGTTAAAGACTTTTACTGGAAAGTTAAAGAACTTTTTCAATTTGCACATTAAATTTGAAAATGTTTAGAAGAACTGATGTAATGGTTTTGGTAGAAAAAGATGTTCGTTTGGGAAAATATATAATATATTTGGGGGTTCTTTTTACTCTGTAGGGTTTCTTTTTATTATTTTTGCTATGAAAATTAAGTAATTTCCTGATTCAAGAAAGGTGCCAATTTTTGAAAGATAAGGTTCACAGTTTAGGAAGGGAATGTTAAATTTTAAAATATTTATTTTTATTTTTCTTATGTGTCTCTGTTCCATTATCTAACAGAAAGAACAAATGGAGATTAGAAAGACATAGAAAAACTTTGGCAGACGTTTCCAGAATATACTGAATCTTAGGTCTACCAGATTTCATATATAATGAAGATTATTGAATGGCAGCAATGCTCTGCAATATATCATTTTAATAATCCTTTTTCAAAGTACTGAGCTTAGAAAGTTGTGGTATAAAGCAGAGGTGGTATTCAGCAGGTTCTGACCAGTTCTGGAGAACCGGTAGCGGAAATTTTGAGAACTTTGGAGAACTGACAAATACTACCTCTGACTGGCCCTGCCCCCATCTATTCTCTGCCTCCCGAATCCCAGCTGATCGGCTGGAGCTTCTTTTGTTGCCCTGCACAGGAGAACGGAACTGGAAAGCAGGTTAGTGGGGTGGGGAGGGAATGGGGATTTTACAGGATCCTTCCACTGTCTTGCGCACCAAGCCACTCCCACAGAACTGGTAGTAAAAAAATTTGAATCCAACCCCGGGTATAAAGGTATGCACTATGGTTGAAAAATAAAACTGCAAATTGCCAAATTACAGTACCTCATCTACTTACTCTTTTTCCTACCTTAGAGTCCTTATATGTCAAAATGGGGAAGATTCAGATGGGTGCTGATTGTAAGAAGTCAATTCCAATTTAGACATTGTCTGTTTCTTCCAAATGAGCCAGATTTGGATCTGAACCCAAGATTCGTCTATGTGAATTATGTAATAGTTTAGCAGCTTTTTTTTTTTACCCAGATAAACTTAACAAACAAAAATCATTATAGCAACAGCAGCAAGCAAAGGTACTTAAAAAAAAATCTATATGATGTGGCCTTCTCAACTGACATAAGAATAGAGATATAAAATCATATAAGACAAATATAACTGTGGCTACTGACTGGCTCGAGGTTGACTCATCCTTCCATCCTCCCAAGACTGATAAAATGAGGACCCAGATTGTCAGGAGCAATGTGCTGCCATTTGTAAACTGCTCAGTGCTGTAAAGCACTATGGAGTGGTACATAAGTCTAAGTACTATTCCTATTGCTGTTACTACTTAACCTCTGTAATACTAATCCTATTTTATCATTTGTATTTACCCTATAATATTTTGATCCTTATACTGTTTTTAACAGCAGTATAGACATGTTCATTTCAGGCCAGGGTTTTCAACCTTGTTTTTAAGATGTATTGCAGATTTGGACTTCTATTCCAAGAATTCCCTAGCTGGCTGGGGAATTCTGAGAGTTAAAGTCCAGACTTCTTAAAGTTACCAAGATTTTGAAACACTGCTTCAGTTATGCATCATTTCAGATTCAAATCCAGTTCTTTAAGGCACCTAAGTTTTTCCCAGGTTCTATAATTGCCCATACAATTTGAGCAAAAATACTTTTCAGTGAGGTTCTCTAAGGACTGCTGCTTCTCCAGTCATGCTTCACTTGCTGTCAGTCTGCCATAAGCAACAAGAGAGGGAACTGTGGGGTGGGATAAAGAGAGGTAGCAGGAAAGGAATAGAAATTACTTGTGCCATCCTGTGAGAACCATTGGCTATTCCAAGGTCACCTCATGGAATGCAGCACCATCCAGCCTGCCAAGCCACGGACTGGTACCAAAACATTTTGTTTAAATACAATTGGACAGCTCAAGATAAGCAAAGAGGAAACAGGGAAGAAAGGAAAAGTTAAACACATGTTTTGTGGGTGAAAACCTCAAATCCGGCTTTGCCTTGTAACCACTTTGGCTTTAGTAAAGTGTACTTTCTTTAACAATGGATCCAAGAGTCTTTCTTTTCTAACTGACCTACTTGGGACCATTGACAAGTTCAGACAAATACTATGTTCACTTCTTATTGATTTTGAAATCAAATTAATATACTGTCCTAGTTTCCACATAGCTTAAGCATTCCTGTTTCTCCTGTTTTCAGGAGACACAAACAGAAATAAACATCCCAACTTAGAACAATGTGATAAGCGATAGTCTCAAGCAACATTTAATTTTCTCTATAGATCAGTGAATCACTGATAGATGGTATGCATGCTCAGCCTCATTTATAATTTATTTTTTTCAGATGTAGAAAAACTATCCTTCATTTGTTTTGACTTTGATGATCCCATATTTATTTAAAATTGCTTAATTATGTTGTTTAGCTTGAAAATTTAATCTTGGTGTTTTTAGAATTTTTTGGTATAATTTTTTTTAATGAAACCACTTTATTAACCTATTTGAAAAAAACAGTATATATGGTTATAAATAAATAGCTACTATTTAAAATACTAGCTAAAATAGTTTATTAGTACTTTTAGCTTTCTAAAATATTAACTTTTAGATAAAGCAAAGGAAAATATAGATAAAATGCATTGCATACATATTTGTTTTGTACTTATGCAGAAGGAAAAGCAATAAGCGCTAGTAAATTAGTAGCTCTTAGTATTATTGCCTCTTATTTTTATTTCTAAATATTTATTTAAATGTTTTATTTCCTATTCCTTGTTTCTGTAATAATTCATTTTGTCGTGTTTTGTTTTAGAATCACAACTACTGCAGCTTGTATGATGGACTTGAGAAGATACCCATTAGATGAACAAAATTGTACATTGGAAATAGAAAGCTGTACGTATTTCTATTAATTTCAGGTATATGAAATATGTTGTGCAAAATAATTGTTTTAGTTTTATTACTAATATTGATTTAATTTCTCATGCCCATTATATGCATAGAGTTCTTAATATTTCAAAATCATTCATGCTCACTTTGGGTGTATTTCATATCATCAACTTCTGTTTTTTTAATCTCTGCAGTGGTCTGCAGTTGCAACTTTCAGTTGTCAGCAGCACTGTTTTGTAATTATTCTTAATTTTTTAAAGAAATTTAAAGTATTCATATGACCCATTGACCCACTGGTGCTCAATTAAAAAAAAAAATCAAATATCAAAAGAGGGGGTGATTGAAGCAATGTCTGGATCTGGACTCTGAAATACGTAATGACTTCAGCAATGATTATAGTTAACAAACAGTCTGAAAAAGAAAAAGTAGCTGATACATCCAAGGAATTACATTAAAAACAATACAGAAATTCATATGCTCCAAGGCTCAAAGGCAACAAGGAATCATCTTCTATAAGTATTGACAGTGGGAAAGAAGAAAGAAAACACCAACAGGGAAAAATGGGAAAAAATAGATGCTAGTGAAGACTAACACTTTGGTAAAGAAGATAATTATATTTTCATTTATTCTGATATCATTGCTTTACCAATATGGTTTCCAGAACAATTTTCTAGTTAAACCACTTAAGAAAACAAACCTTTTCAAAATAAGGATGGATCATACTCTACAGGTTATTGAGAGGACAAAAGAGCAAAGGAGGCAGTCAACACTTAACAATGTCATGGTTTTATAAATCTTTACCAAACACCAACACAGTGTTAAGAAGTCATTTTATTTTTGCTGCAAACTTATTTGCAAATAATAAGGCAAACAGTGGGACATCTGTATTTATAACTGGCTGTAAAACCTGGTGGAAATTAAATCCCAAAGTCTCTGGATGTGAGTTATCAGAATCATAGCTCTTCTGAATCTTGTTCTGAAGCAATGAATCAAATAGTGCCACTGTTCATTATCATCAAGCCATTTCCATCATTTTTACAAAGAAAATCTTTAGAAATTTTTCCCAAATGTAATAGGAAGGTATGGTGACTATTAAAGATATTTTAATGGAAAATTTGGAAAGTAGCCAGAACTGATAGCAAAGGGGGGGAAAAAAGATACAAGGGGTCTGTTGTGTTTCCTGAGCTTGCCTGTCTGTATGGGTGGAAGTGATGTTAGAGATTCTGTGGTTGTGCTGTTCATTAATGACTCTTTGGAAGTTTCTTTATTGGGGTGTTGTTGGTCTGATCAATATCCCAATCAAGAAACTGTCAAAGAGCCATCAGTAAACAGCCCAACCAAAGAACCTCTAAGACCACTCCCACCCACACAGATAGACAAGTCACCAGAATATAAACTGACAGCAAACAGCACTCCTTACCATAATGTTACCAGTTAAGGTAATGAAACATCTACAAGAAAACAGGCAATCTCAGAGAGCACCAAAGGTTCCTCATTTCAACCCTGAGATACAAATATTCTCCTTTATCGAAACAAAGATATGGACAGCATCTTTGATGTGGATTTTTTTGTGAAATGGAGTTTTAATGAATCTCTGCACCTATCCTTCTGCTTATGCCTTTTCCTAAGTATTGTACGCCTGTTGCCTCATGTGAAAGAATGTTTTAAATTTAAAAAATAAAATGAATGGAAAGTGTTCTTTTATAAGTGAAGACCTATTGACAAACCTGTATATCCTGCCTATTGAGGCAGGATATATACAAAGATCAATTTTGATGAAGTCACCAACAAATTTGCAGTAGTTAAAAGCTTGAAAAGAAAAAAACATTATTATTTCTTTCTGCTAGTGAATTACTAATATGTAGGTATAAGATATTTACTATTTCTCTCCAAAATGCATTAATGTAATTAAAAAATATGGATCCATTCTTTTCTGGTTATTTTTTTATCATCCCTTTCATTACATGGTTTTTACTGTAACTGATTTGCCATATAGAGAGCATGCAGGGGTGGGATTCAAATTTCTTAACAACCGTTTCTGTGGGCATGGCCTAATTAGTGGGTGTGGCTTGGTGGTCATGTGACTGGTGTGGGTGTGGCCATGTGGTGATGTGACAGGTAAACCAAATGTAAGTAGTCCTCGCTTAATCACCAGGTCCTCGCTTAATGGCCAGTTGCTTAGCAAGTGTTCTAATTTACGACTGACCTCCACAGAGCTACTTGGCCTGTTTTTGGTGTTTTGACAATCATATATACACACACAGAGAGACACACACTTGTGACCAGTTACAACATCCCACACAGTCTTGTCACTGAGGTTTTCTGTTTTTTGCCAGTTTCCAACAATTCCTTCTGGTTTCTGGTTAAAAATGCCCATTGGGGAAAATGGTCTTTTTAACAACCAGTGTTTGCTTAATGACCACAAGGTTCACTTAACGACCATGGCATTTGCCTAACCCAGGGGTCTGCAACCTTAAACACTCAGAGAGCCATTTTTCTATTTTCTTTTAAACAGGTATCTCTGTCTGTCTTTCTTTCTCCCTCTTTCTCATCTCTCTCTCTGCCATCTCTTTCTCTTTCTCCCTCTCTGTTTCTCATTTCTCTTTCTCTCTCTCATCTACAACTGCTAAGATTGGAAGCAGTTTTTTTTATAATCCTATTTCTTTGCAGTTTTTTTTCACATTTGTGTATATGTATCCAATATTCTTTCTTACTTTCCACTATGTATTCAAAATGGGCAATGATTTTATGTGTGTGTGTGTGTCGCATGTGTATATGTCATGTCAAGGGGTGCTTCGCCTGGCCCCTCCCCTCCCAGCCATTCCTTGTCACTCAGCCTCAACTTATCTATAGTTCTGTAAAAATGTTGTTCACCTTTTTTTGACTTCATTATCTACGTACTATAGATGTACTTTCATGGACCACTGAAAGGAGGAAATGGCTCACATGCTTTACTCAAGAGTGTGATAGGCAACAGGCTTTTAAGGGGCTGTCACAAAGAAAGGAGGACAATGTATCTTCCAAAGACGCAGAATGCAAACAGGAAGCAATGGATGGAAACTGAACAGAGAAGCAACCTAAAACTAAGGAGAAACTTCCAGACAGTGAGAACAATTAACCAGTGGAACTGCCTGTCTCCAGAAGTTCTGGGTGCTCAATCGCTGGAAGTTTTTCAGAAAAGACTGGACAGCCATTTCTCTGACATGGTATAGAGTTCACCCCAAGGTCCCTTCTAAGTGTTATTCTGACACCTTTCCCAGGATTTCTACTCAGAGTTTGGCATCCTCGGTTTTCTTGCCTGACCTGGGGGTTGGACTAGAAGACCTCCAAGGTCCCTTTCAACTCTTGTTAAACACATGTATATTTTATGTTTTGGACTATTGAATGCATGTTTTGAAGGTGAGGCATGTGATGAATAACACAATCATCCCAAAGCGGGGTGGGGGTGGGGAGAACATTGGTATGTTGAGACTCAACAGGAACTTGAAGACTTAAATTTCTTGTTCCTGTCATGCAGCTTTTGCATGGATGAAACTTCTCCTCCTGTTGCGTGGGAAATTGGTTGGGGCTGTGGAAACTGGAAGGGAGATGTTGCTTCTGGGATACTTACTGTAGTATAGTTTTCTTTTTCATTCTCCCTCCCTCTCTGTTTCTCATCTCTCTCCCCTCCATGGCAAGAGCAGCAGCGTCAGTCAGTGTCTCGGAGAAAAGTCGCGCCCCCCCCCCCCATATTCCTCTCGTCTTGCCTTGAGTAGCCTCACGCAGCACCAAACTTAGCACCAAATTTAGTGCGCTTCACCAATGAGGAGGCCCCATTTGTGAAGCGCGCTAAGTTTAAAGGTGCTGCACAGCACGTCCACCCCATATTTCCCTTGTCACGAGCAGGCTCGCACTGTGCGGCACCTTTAAACTTCGTTCATTTTACAAAGGAGAAGGGGATTCCAGCACCATTGTCAACACATCTGTGAAGCGCGCCTCCCCCCCATATTTCCCTCGCTGCAAGCAGCCTTCCCAGCCTCGCTTCCCCAAGGGGGAAGCATAGCAGGGGGAGGAAAGGCAAGCTGTTGAGCTCCGGCCCAGGGCTTGCCATACCTGGGGGGGGGGGAATGAAGCAGCAGCGAGACGGGAATGGCGATAATGGTGCCCAAGGAATGCAATGGCAGCGATTCTGGTGGCATCGGAGCTGCCAGGACCAACTCCCCACCCTGCCATCCATCAGCTGTTTGTGTAGGCAAGAAAGGGTGGGGCCGATGGAGGGGAGGGGCCAGCCAGGGGCGTGATTTGCCGGTTCTCTGAACTGCGTAGAATCATAACATCCGGTTCTATAGAACCGGACAAAACCAGTAGAAACCCACCCCTGAGAGCATGTATGTAAAAAAATTGATCCATCCTATATGTCATATACACTGAATTTTCCTTGGTTAAATTCAAGTAAAGCTAAATAGATTATAGAATTTTGGAAACTTAATAACGGTATTATATATCTCATTGTTAATGTGTATGGCAAGACAGCAATTCTGGGACTAGTATGATCTTTTTTCAGATTCCTTAATACCAGTAGCTAGACTAATGATTCACTTAAAAGACAGATTTGGAGGACAATCTGGTTTTCATTTCCATGTTTTGAAAACATAGTTTTTCTTTTCCAGACTTAAAGAATTTTATTACAATTCTTTTGAGATTTCCAGCCATATATAGTCTATACTACAGGCGCAACCATTTTACTAAAGTGTATAAAAATGTAGCAAAGACACATCATTCTAAGCAGAATGGTCTTCAAGTCTGTCTATATCTATCTAGAACTGATCTGTAATTGCCCAAGTATTTTGTTGTAAAAATAGTCACCTACAGTACCCACATTGAGGGATGCGGTGGCTCAGTGGCTAAGATGCTGAGGTTGTCGATCAGAAAGGTCGGCAGTTTGGCGGTTCGAATTCCTAGCACCATGTAATGGAGTGAGCTCCCGGTACTTGTACCACTTTCTGCCAACCTAGCAGTTCGAAAGCATATAAAAGTGCAAGTAGAAAAATAGCAACCACTTTGGTGGGAAGGTAACAGCATTCCATGCATCTTTGGCATTTAGTCATGCTGGCCACATGACCACGGAGACGTCTTCAGATAGCACTGGCTCTTCAGCTTTGAAACGGAGATGAGCACCACCCGCTAGAGTCAGAAACAACTAGCACATATGTGCGAGGGAAACCTTTACCTTTACCTTACATTATCTGACAAATGATCTGAATCAAACATCCTTTATTGCCATCTAATATTAATGCTTGATCATTAGCATATACATATTACTATACATTTTACAAGTAATACTTCATAATAGATTTCTTACAGATTAATCATCCCAGCCAATCATGACCTATATAGTCAGCAACATATAATTATAATATTGTATATTCAACTGTTTTAATCTGTAAAACAACATTACAAGCTCATTTGCATAATTGATGTTCTGATATATGGTGAAATAGTGAAACATTTATTCTCATTTTGTGAAATTATCCATTTATCTTGTTTTAACCATCAATATCATTACATTTATTGCATTATTGTACACAGAAATTGTTTTTTCAAAATGAATTTTCACATTTTTATGATAATCATATAGCACATATTTATTAGTTTCATATGAAACAGCATGAATTGCTGTCATGAAGCAAAAAAGAAAAATTGTTCCTCAAATTGTATCTCAGCCTATAACATAGTTTAGAATGGATATACACTCATATTATTAATAATAATATTGGAGAATCTATGCTTGACTCACTGAAAGTTTAGGAGTGGTAAATTTTATTTTCTTCTTTAGGGCATAATGAAAGTTTTGAGAAAAGTGAGGCTATTGTATATTTTGAGAACAGGATACTAAAACATTTCTGCTTTGTTTCCAGATGGCTACACAACGGATGACATAGACTTTTATTGGAGAGGTGGAGAGAATGCAGTTACTGGAGTAGAAAGAATTGAACTTCCGCAATTTTCTATTGTGGAATATAAACTTGTGTCCAGATATGCTAAATTTGCCACAGGCATGTATTTCCTAATTGTTGAATTTCCATTATTCCTAGCTCCCTAATGCATGCCTATATTTTGTGTTTATATAAGAGGTAATTAAAATGGGGATAGAGCTAGTTCATTATTTTTTGTACAAATATTTGGTGCTACTGGGTCTGAAATGTTAAAACTGATTAGTTTGCTTGATGATTTTTAAGTAAAGAAAACAATATTTGCATCTGAAACGACGTACAGATAGTCCTCAAATTACAACAATTCATTTAGTGATTATTCAAAGTTGCAACGGCACTGAAAAAAGTGACTTATGTCCCGTTTTTCACAGTTATGACCATTGCAGCATCCCCATGATCAAATGATCAAAATTCAGATGCTTGGCAACAGTCATATTTGTGTCCCAAGGTCAGGGGATCACATTTTGGGACCTTCTGAGAAACAAAATCAATGGGGAAGCCAGATTCACTTAACAACGGGGTTACTAACTTATAAACTGCAGTGATTCACTTAAAAACTGAGACAAGAAAGGTTGTAAAAAATGGGCAAAACTCATTTAACAAGTGTTTCAACAAAAGAAAATTTTGGGCTCAGTTGTGATCATAAGTTGAGAACTACCTATAGCAGGGGTGTCCAACCTTGGTAACGTTAAGCCTGGAGGAAAGCTGGCTGGGGAATTCTGGGAGTTGAAGTCCTCCAGGCTTAACGTTACCAGGGTTGGACACCCCTGACCTATAGTATATGACTTAGAAAATTAATATTGGTCAAGACTTCCAGCCTAATAAAATATTTTTAATAGGAAATTCTAAAAAATAAACACGTTGAATAGAAATATGTGCTCTAATTAAGCTGCAAGTAATAGATTATATACAAAGCAGTCAGTTGGCAGTGTGGGTTATAAAATTTAGGATTATACCTTATTTTGAACAGAGAGCAGAAACTCAGGAACAGCTTTCCAGAACAAGTTATTTATCCTGAGTCAAGCTATTATTCAAATTATTCATAATTAAAGCAGTTTGAGAAATGCCACTGTAGTATTTATTATGCTAATTGTAAACAATATTTTATTATACTGGATTATACTAAGATCAATATTAATGATACTAATAATAGCCAATGCCACATAGCCAATCAAATATTATTTACCGAATTAAAATATTTAATACTAATATTTGTGTTTTGGCAATAGCTATATTATATTTTTTGTCTACAAAAGGGACTACCCCATGCTTGTCTTGGGGAGTGATAGGCTCTACTAATAATTTTGTAACATGTTTAGTATATTTTATTCATTACATTTTAAATATCAGGCAAGTAATTTAAATGTATGATTTTTAGATAGAAGGTAAAAGTATTCCAACTTATTATTATCATGAAGAAAACAATGAGAACTTAATGCCTATCTATTTTTTAATAGGTTCCTATCCAAGACTATCACTGAGTTTTAAGTTGAAGAGGAATATTGGATACTTTATTCTTCAGACCTACATGCCCTCAATATTGATTACCATTTTATCATGGGTATCCTTCTGGATAAATTATGATGCATCAGCAGCAAGAGTAGCTCTTGGTATGAAATGGCGATGAATAGGACATTACTTCATTTGCAATATCAAATGTCAATTACTAGAATTTGCAACGTATTAATAGGTCAATATCATTTATATAAATATTGTATTAGTTTGGATTGATTCAGTAATGGTTCATCTTAAATATATAACAATTTTTATAAAATCTGTTAATTGAACTCTTCAAATGGAGCTCAGTTTCTCTATTACTCTAAGAATGGTATGGAAGAACTGACTTTAGAGAAAGGTTGTGGTACCCTAAATTTAAATTTAAGGTCTATTTAAATTTGAAGGAAGAATGCAAAGATAGTGGAATAAAATGGTTTATGCCTTCTTTTTCTTCCAATCCTAATCAATCTTTCCCTTAGAGGCCCCTGATTTACTTGATGACACAACTGATGAAAGTCTGGTTAAAGCCAAGTCCTTAAAGCTAGCATAGTGTAAGAGAGCAACTCTGCACTGCTGAAAATGCTGGTCAAAGTGCCTTCAGGCATGTAGCTTCTGGATTTACTGTACTATAGCTTCAATTTACACTGAAGGATACTCAGCATACATCAAGGGGGATTCAAGTTGGACAGCTTTTACACGTATAGAAGTATTGCTCAGAACATCTGCCAGAGGCATTAGTTTAAAGACTTTTAGTGTTCACTTTCTAAATTTGTGAGTTTGCCAGCAGTATTTTTAATAGTAATAATGCATGTAATTAGATCACACTGGAATACTACTTTATTTATTTATTTATTTATTTATTTATTTATTTATTTATTTATTT